TAATAGCAGTGTCAGCTGTGCGTGGGTCTTACTCCCCCCCAACCCACCCCCCTCCACGAACAGAATTACAAGCTGATTTTCACGATCTCGTGATCATGCTAATGACGAATATCGAACATCTGAAGTTTTTCTCATGAAGAATATTAGAAGAGCTGATAAGCGAACTTCTGAGTGGGAACAATATTAACTGCACTACGCATAGAGCCCTGTTGCTCTGTGTGGTGCTAGACGCTGACTTCTTATGGCGGAGACTTAGATTCAATCCCGCATGACTTCACGTGAGTATTGTGATGGACAAAGTGACTCTGTAGATGGCTTTCCTCCAAATTTCGTTGGCTTCCACTTGGTAACGATAGTTTTTCATCACTGGTCCAACTCACCTGTCACCCTCCAGTGACATGTGCAGTAGCCCTGACAACGCAGCATATTATCACTTTCTCGGTGTTTGAGTTTGGGACTTCCTCTCCGACACAGCACTTGGCCGGATACAGGGTATGACCGCGTTTTCTGAATATCTGCGAGCAGTAAGAAACTCTTATGGATATATTTCTGTATGGAATTGGAAAAGAATAAAATGTCAGCTGCAGGAAATATTCAAACAGGACTATGATAATAGTCCGGAACTTCTATCCTACAAAGACGACTAGCGGAAGCAATGGATTTAGAGTTGAACTCTTTCGAGAAACGTAACTGGATGCTTAGGACACTTTATTTTTCTTGAAAGAGCACAATTTTATTGAGACATAAAGTAGACGATAATATTTATAGGATTTCTATATATCTGACAGAACCTATTACACTCTGGAGATAGTGACATATAGCTACCAATTTTTTCTATCCTCCTTCTGTTGCACATACTCGTATTTTTCTCGCGTTTACTCCCTCCTGATTTTAATCATTCTGCTTCCCGTCTATTTTATTCACTTCGACGGACTCCAGCGAGAAGTCTGCGATAAGTTCTTAGTTTTCTGACGGTACGAAATAAATTGAATGCAAATCGGATCGTACTTTGCCCTCCGCACTCAGCTGATGCAGCCCAGACCCTGAAAAACTTTTAAAATAAAGCCCCAAATTTCATGCGTGTTGCCGCATACAGAATGCTGATCTTTCAAGTAGGTCCCTGACAGCAACTTCCCCGTCATGCGGTATGTCCCCTTCTTTTTCGTTAAATATAGACCGCACGGAAAGTTTATAAAAAAAATGTATCATGATCTACCCGTGAGCTATTTTCGAAACAGGAAAATGTTAAATTTCTTCCATCTGACATAAATGGAGATTTAAGATGGAACCGCACAGACCAAACCACTCAATTCTTAGTGTAAGGCTCTTAGCTACTTCACTGGGAAAGTTTCTCTATTAGATGTCGGTCGGACAATTTCGCATCCCATATGCAGATAAACGGTACCTTCCTTCGCTCAGAAGCGCCTGCAGCTGGACCCAATCTTTGCCATAGCCCACGGCCTTAGGATGAATTTTAATATTATACCCCCATCCACAGCTATATCTCCCAAGTGATCTCTTCCCTTCAGGCATACCGATTCAAATTTTGAAAGCATTTATCATGTTCTCCATGCATTCTACATATCCAGCCCAATGTTTCCCTTTAGCGCAATCACACTGGCCATATATGGTGAAAAACAGGTATTAAATGGCATAGAAATATGTTACAAAAATTCTATTTCATGGAATAAGCTATTGTAACGGGGTTGGCCAGATCGTTGCTAAGCAACGGATCCATAGACAAACCTAAAAAATAGAGAGACAGCTTTCTATGGGGTCTGCAATGCTTCGGTAAAAATGTTTCAACAATAGAGGTTGTGTTTTCCGTCGGGTTCGTGCAAAGAAGTTATCTTAAAAACAAAGGGCGCCACGATCCAGTTCTGAGATCTGAGTTCCGAGTTCTCGGTAGAAGATAGCCACGGAAGGTTCGTCAGATTGTGAAGAATTATAGTGAACAGAAGGCTTCATTCATGTGTAACACTTGGAGTATGCCAATAAATCCTCTCATCCGAACCAGAACCCATCATTTGTCACTTGTACCACCCTACACGTGATAATATTATACTTTTTCCAACAATACATTATTTTGAAGAAAATACAGCGATTCGATCTGAATTGGTGGAAAGTAGGAGTTCAGAATGATATGAATTAAAATTAAATTCACGCAGAAAGTTTTAGTGTAAACTCCAAGGACTGAATTATCCGGATATCCGTCGAGTAATTCTGGAGGCGGAACATTGGACAAACGGCAATGTTCGGGGGATGGGCGTCTCAGCCAGGAGGAACAGATTTTCTCACCGACGTGATTTAACAATCGCTGCTATTGATCGTCGACTAAGAAGGACAGGAACATCTCAGCCTTTTGCTGCCAACTGGACAACAGAGAGATCCGCGCAGACACCTGACGTTGAGAAGCCCGTCCTGGACCATGGTGAAGAGAAAACAGGTGTCAGCACGTGGAGAGATTGCGACAGAAATAGAAATGATAGTGTGGGGCCTCAAGCCTGCAGATTTCCAACACAAGCGAATCTGTGCTGATGCTTTGCTGAACAATGTGCAGCCTGAGCCTCCCTTTTCTTTCGTCAGCGCTCTTTCTGGCGAGACAAGTTCTGGCAAGTTTTCACAATCCTCATGATATTATCCAATTCGGACACAAAAGACAGTTCAGCATTAATGCACGGGCAGGTGTTGTTGGCGAATGTCCGGCAGGCCCTTACGTTTTATCATGTAGGCATACAGGCGACTACTGCCGACTGCCCAGTCTAGTAGAAGATGTACCATTGGCTGCCATAGAATTCATGTACTCCTGCATGATGGTACACAAGCATGTTTCAGCCGTGTTGTTGGATAGATCCTCAATATCACCTTTTATGGCCGATAGATAGATGCAGAAGGGCCTCCTGCATGGCCCTTGTGCTAACCTCATTTGGATATCTACCTGTGGGGGAACTTAAACCACTTGTGCATTCAGCTTTTTTTTTTCACAACGAAAACCAATTCGCCAGAACACTGTGAACGCCTGCCAGACTATCCGCAAAAATCCCACAATCTTTGAACGGGATCAACAGACTACGATAACACTTGCTCAAACTTGTGTGGAGGACATTCTGAGCACTTGTAAATGCATCCTTCAGTACTCTAACTCGGAAAGTAAGCGACTGCGGACACAAATTTATATAAATTAATTTTCTTTTCTTGGTGCGTGGAGTTCGTCCTCTGAGTTTTCGCATATTTCTAATACAATGTGTGTGTGTATGTGTGTGTGTGTGCCTCTGTGAGTGCACACACACAGTATAAGAAACTTACTAACGGTGAATGGGAGTTCTGAAATGTCGCAGATCTGAGTCACCACAGCAAAGAATTGTCGAGTGTTAATATGTTCCATGAACATTAAGTTACTCTGTAGGTCACGAACGAATGAGCACTCCTATGCTTCAGTGCATCATATCTACTGTGCGAATACTGATTATGTTATGTTGTGGATGTTAAGTGTGTTTAGTACGTATTAAATATTGATTTGGAGCATTCCTCTCCTTTCCAAAACGAAGAGCTTACACGTAGAGCACTGAGCTACAATCATATCGTAAACTCCAATTTGAAACATGCATATTAATCAAAGTGGAAATCTGGTATACATCTCTACGGCTACTTGAGTCCACATCTCAATGAACACCACAATATAGTAGTTACTATAGGACTCTGAGGATGGTGTATAACACACAGAGATATTGGGTTTTCGGCCTTTATCCATCGTCCTGGTTTTAAGATAAGTAAGAACAACACGACGTTTCGGAAACTGGATCTGTTTCCGTCCTCAGGTGAGGGAAAACACCTATTCTGTTGGGTCCCTTAGAAAGAGCTAGCCTCAATCACTGGTCGACTGGCCTGCGCGCGCCTCTCGTATGATCTAGATATTTCCGACACTGCTCAGCTAACGCCGAGGGCTGAGGTTGCCCCAACAATAGAGAGAAAATTCCGGGAGGATGACATGCCAGTAACAGCAGTTGCAAAGCCCTAGAGGGAGCCCAATGCAGTTCGGTTGCAGTGCAGAGATGTACTGCACATTAATCTCACAGAGTTCAGGATGCCCATGAAACTGGTCAGTTTCAATAGCACAAGTGTTTGCGGAGGGTGGAACGATAAGATTCCCATAAAACCACATATTGCAACCTGTACATCTGATGCCATTTTTAACCTTAGTATTACAACCCGCTAGGAAATGTATCTTCGCAGAACTTCTATACAGAATGGAATCCACAATTATTTTAATTTTCATGTCAATAGGAACTTCAACATAACGATTTCCTGGGGGGGGGGGAAATCTTCTTTAATACAATGAGAATAATTAATTACAGGTAAACTGTGTCCTGACAATTCTTTCATTAATGATGGAACGTCCATAAGTTGGCTTTGAGGAATAAAGATTATATAGCCCAAATGTACATACACGTAAATCCCAGAGTCATTTATGCTAAAATTTGTAATCGCAAATAATTCCTTTTAAAGTTGTACTTGTATTTCTTATAATTGGGAGTGGATTTCTCTGGATTCAGATAGTGTATAACAAGTAGTTCAACTGACCGGTGATTTCAACGGGAAATTCTATATTTTTATAATAATTTTACAACTTTTCACACTTGTTTCCATAGAGAAATCTACAAATAATACGCATGGCCCTAACAGCAGTAGCCTCATGACGACTAGCGAAGTCAAATCCTGTACCTGACAGTGTTAAGACTCATATGTAATTATATAACGCTGTGTGTGATTGTGCCTATATGTATAACATGAGGCTCTATTGTTTGAAAGCGAAGGAATCAATATCCATATTAATTCCGAGAAGTAAGAAAGTCCTTGGGGTCGGAACGGGAGGAACGGAGAAAGAGAAAGTAATATTGATCACTTAGTGGGGCCGCAGGACACGATTCATTCTTCTGGAGTTCAGAACTGTGGTCTGTAGATAATAGACAAATTGCCTGTTGTAACTGATCAAGTCTTACCCCTTGAGGTGCCGCTGAGGGAGGAGGACGATGCTCCAGCGGGGTCTGCCTTGTCTTCATTCCCATAATGCTTCAGCTTAAGCAGCTCCACTTCCAACTCGTCTTTCTGGAACAAGAGAAAATGTAGCTCACTTTCCTTACATACGGATCTGGCGAAAGTTTCCTTTATTCTTAAAGTAAACTGTACTGAAACAACAAAATTCTTTATTTGTTACTGCGCTGTTATGTATGCTCACAAAGATTAGTACGTTACAGAACGTGACACAGTGTCGTCTGGCAGAAAGTTACAAACTTTCGGAGGAATCTGCTTCCTCCATCTTCAAGGTAGATTAAACGCCTCCTAACAAAAGGAAAATTTACCGGAATGCCTATAAGCTGAAATGAAATAATTATTTCGCTTCACCCTTAAATGACAGTCTTATGAATACATACTCATATTCCCGTCGGTGACTGCAGTGTTATCTTTCTGATATACTCGAATATTAGGCCGTACCATACTCAAGCGGTTAGTCGCCGGCTTCCCACCGCGGCGGCCCGGGTTCGAGCCCGGGTCTGGTCAAGTGGGGTTTGTGGTGGACAAAGAGGCTCAGGTTTTCTCCAAGTGCTTAGGTTTCCCTTACCAATTTTCATTCCACCAAATTCCATCATCATAATCACCCGGGGCACTTACAACAGGCCAACCAGTGACCGACGTGCCGAGTGGACCCAGCTGCATTCCACCCCCCACTATGCGAATTAAAAAAAATACCCGCATATTTGTCAGAATATGGTGTATTATGACATAGGCATATTTTTCATTGACGGATGGAAGATCAGCTAAGATCACCGTCTTCTGGTATGTTAAAATACGTAGGAAAGAAGTGGTATGAACTTCTTCCGTATTCAGGGTATTTTATTCTATCCTAAAGATAAGAAAACAAGTTCTAGTTCGGCCGCCTATCTTGAGTGAGGATTGCAAGGTCCTCCTCAGTCGCTCCAGGTAATTCGAGATCGTGCCTCGGATCGCTTCCTTCCAAATCCTTTCTACTTCACTGATATATCAAGCATCACACCTTTCAGCGTTTCACTTACGCTTACACCACCAGAGAAAATATACACCACTAGTCTCTTACTGGCACGGTGTCGCATGGAGATTGCTTCATGTCTCGAACGGTTACTAAAAACGAAACAGCTGTGGACAGAGTCGAAACAAATAAGGTGCTGAACGCAGGATGGCGCACGAAATGATGCAGTAATTGATTTAGCATTAATTAGAGAACCATGTAATGAACGATATTTTGTAACGTGGTAATCATGAAGATTAGTGCTTACCCTTTCCGAGATCGCTAGTGTCGCGCTGTTCCTGCTCATGTGCCAGTTTACACAAGATGTCTGACAAAGGAAGACAGCCTGTAAAACAACGCATATGCACAGTGTTGTGCTTTACTGAAACAAGAAATGTTGTGGTCACACAGAGGTGGGTTTCGGCCCATTTTCAAACGTGATGGCCGCCTTAATTTAAAACAATTCACAAACTTTATTACCAGTATAATGATCGTTCAGTGCTGGAGAGGACATGTTGCCGGCCTTCACCTGTTCGTTCTCCGGAGAACATTGACACTGTCAGGGTGGCGCTGCAGAGAAACCCCAGTAAATGAACAAGGAAGCCTGCAGCACAACGAGGGATATCCAGACTATTGGTGAAATGAATATTGGAAAGTAATTTGAATTTGTATTCATGCAAGATGTTTGTTGCCTAAATTTACAGTTAAAGCAAACATCAAAGAATGGCTCAATGGGCTCAGAATAATGAGGTATCGTGCAACAATGTTTGGTTTTCTGACGAGGCACACTTCCACTTGGATGGTGTACGATTTTGGGCGTCAGAGAATCCACGTGTGATTCATGAGAAGGTGCACCATGCACCGAGAAGTACAGTCTGGGTCGCCATCTCAAGTCATGGCCTGCTAGGGCCAACTTACTTTGAAGACACAGTGAACAGTGAGCGCTATTTACGCATGTTGCGCAGTACTGTTGTGCCTCATCTTCTTGCCAACTCAGTGGTTCATACAGGATGGAGCCAGGCCGCACACAGCGAATGTTGTTCTGGACTTTCTGCATGACATTTTGGATTCGCGTGTCATTTCAAACCGATTCCCTGATCGTTTCTGATGTGGACAGAACTGGCCCTCGAATAGACTTGATTTAAATCCATATGGATACTTTCTTTGGGGAAGATATTTTTCCGAAGAAGAATGCATATAGGGTATTGGTGGGAAAGCCAGAAGGAAAGAGACCACTGGGAAGACAAAGGGGTAGGTGGGTGGACAATGTTAAAATCTTAGAGAGATAGGATGGGATGGGATGGATTTGATTGATCTGGCTCAGGGCAGGTACCAGTCTCTTGTGAACACGGTAATGAACCTTCAGGTTCCATAAAATGCTGGGAAATTCTTGAGTAGCCGCAGATTTGGCTTCTCCTCAAGACGGGCTCAGCTCCATATGTAAGGAAATAAGTAAAGCCACAGACAACAATGGAACTGAGAGCACTAATCATTCAGGCCTCCAACGAACTAACTGAGGATATGTTCCGTCGAGTAATCAACATCACGGTTCGAGTTGAAGAGGTCACCAGACATAATGGTGGTCCCACTGAAAACTTGATTCACAGAGGATAAATTTCCATGAAATTGTTTTTCTTTCTGTCTGTGGAAGTCTGTGGGCGCGGCTATTGCGCAACAATAAGGAACGCCGATACCAGCCGTACCGCGCTCGCTGCTATGCAACGTTGCGGTAAACATTCCTTTGCAAAAATATAGGCTGTTTTCTCTGCGTGGTCAGTGAGGAGGCTATACATACAACGAGATTCCAGGAATAATCAAGGGAATGTTTTCCGTAATTGAGTGTGTTCGAGTATCTGAGAGTGTTTCAGTTTTTAAGTTAATGTAGCGACGTTCAAGTCAGTCGTAAGTTGGAGGAGCGAATTGAAACCATGAGCACAGGAGACTAAGTGTTTATTACTGTATTCACCAGAGCCTAACCTCTAATCTATATCGTACTTTCCCAAGGAGTCTCTTTCCTTGAGGTTTGTCAGCTAAGATAATGTATGCATATTGACAAGGACAGAAATGAATTCCCCATTATCATTTCTCGTTTAAAATTATATTCGTGAAATTAAAAGTTTGATATAACAGCAGTCTGCTGTCTTCAGGAATTATCGCCATGTAGTCCTCTGGATACTTTCAACGGTTCAAAGGTATCTTCTGCCTCTATATTCAGGGTGCATCAGACGACGGATGTCATAGAAATGTAAGATATAATGGTAAGTATCCATCAGGCTACAAAGCGTCACATCCCAGAAGAGAGCCTTCACAGGCTCCTCCGCAGCTCTCACGTGAATAAGATGTGGATGTGCACGAACCCGCTCAGTCAAGATGGCGGCGTCACGGAGGCGGACAGGCATGCAGACTGTAGGACCATTGAAACGCATTTGCGGGGAGCGTTCATTTTGTTCTGCAACAAATTATTCTATGATGCACGCGTTTCATGGCACGTGAAATGAAAGACCTCATTAGTACGAAACAGAAAAATATCAGCAATTACTACGTACAAAAATACTAGTACATTTAATTATAACAATCTATTAACATATAAAATAATAACAAATTAATAAGTCAAATCCAAAAACAATTTCACCATTGTCTGCAGCGTATCAGCTGAGCTGCATCTGAATTGAAATATTGACTGATAATTATATTATCGTCACAATATGCGGATTACTGGTCGGTTTTGTGGCGTATTGCTAGAATTGCAATCAGAATCGAACGTATATGATGAGGCATGTGCCATTATTGGTCATATTCAGCAAACATGTGTTCTGTAATTTCAAATTGAGCGGAGGTTTGGGCACCTATTCGCGTTGTCAATTTTAACAAATTCTGATACAGTTCATTAAATAATCACAAGCTGTAGAGCTGCAGTGCTGCAGTGCACCTACTCAAGAAATTCCCCGCGTTATATGGAATTCGAAGGTTTATCACCGTGTTAAAAGAGCCCTCTAACTGTCCATACCCTGAGCCACATCGATCTATTCCTTATCACCCCACTCTCTCTCGAAGATCCGTTTTAATATTGTTCACCCACTTACGTCTTGAACTTCCCAGTGGTTTATTTTCTTTTGCTTTCACAACAATATCCAATATGCAGTCCTCTTCTCCCCTATTCCAGCTACATATTCTGCCCATCTCATCCATCTGTCCTGACTCAGTCTTGTGACTTTCCTTCTCCCTTTCAGGAGAATATTAGTTTAGTAACCTAACTAGGTCATAAACGCTTATTTCCACACATTTTCCAGTTAATTCACAATGAATAGTCCATCTGACGCTATTTAAGTTGTGTAGTTGAAAGAGCGTTGCTAAAGGTCACTAAAACGAATTACTTATTACGCAAGTTGCGGGTAGCAGAGAAGTGGTGAGAATTAGTTCCGTATGGTTAGCAAGTGTTCTCAACAGAATTATGCCCTATGACTGAGGGGCTAAATGTAGCGCCAGAGGTCTGGATAGACGGACAGATCAATAGAAATATATTCGTATATAGTATAAATCGACAGGTAGGTAAGTAACTCCATAAATGGAGAAACATGTTGTTAGCTAGGTAGGTAGGTAGGTAGGTAGGTAGGAAAGATAGTTAGGTAATGGATAACGATTTTATAATAACTTTAATGAAGAATATGGAGTTTACAGTGTATATCACAGACACCTAACGCTGTATATAGCACGTGAGACAGCGAAATAGTCGGATGAGGTAAGGGAAAAATGTGAAGCTATCCCTGTAACAGTCTATGGAAGGGGTTGTGTGAAGACATTCGGTTCACAGATGGCGGTGAGGTTGTCAGCCCTTTGCCCCCAGGAAGATTCATGTCACTGTTTTCTCGTAGAGGCTGAGTCGATCCCAGGGTCATAGTGTGGCTGGAAGGATTACGGCAATTGAAATATCTACTGACCTCATAGGGAATGGAATCCGCGACCTTCTCGCTTGTAGCATAGTCTGCACGTGCAATGGATACAGCTTTGAACTGAGCAGAGGCTGTCCTCTCTTCATTTTCGGGGTGTTTGTACAGCCAGTAAG